GGACCAGTTTTTTTTTCCCCCTTAGAAAATTTGTCATTTTCAGGTTAAAAATTTTAAATGGATGTCATTATTTATGTTTATTTTTTTATTTTTTTTATTTTTTTATGTTTATTTTTAAATGTGATTTCTGACTTGTGATCATTGGGAGTTTTCTCTCAATTTTCTTATTAAAAGCCTCAAAGAAACGTTTTCAAGCAAAATTTTCACATTTTGGGAGTTGGTAGCTTTGTAAAGGAGGTTTACAAGAATTGGGGGAAATGATTCAATTGAAAAATGAGGCAGGTTGGGTTAAATTAGAATTGTGATTGGACTGGGGGTGAGGCTGATTGAATTAGAATTTTGATGATACATGTAGAGCCTGATAGTCACATGACTTTTCATTTAGTGATTCTTTCCTGAAAAGAAATCATGTTTCTGGGTCTTGGCGTATCTTCATGTCAAACCTGGATTTCAGACTAGTAGAATCAAAGTTATTTTTTTTCTCCTTTAAAATATAAAAGAGATTAAAGCAATGACTTTTTCCATCAAAATGTGACTTTTTTCCTGTTAAATTCATTCACTCACTCACTCATTCGGCCATTCATTCACTCATTCACTCATTTGGAAAAAAATGGGTGGGCACCTCTTGGCACCAGGCACTGTTTTCAGTGCTTGGACTACATTATTGGGATAAACAAAGATGCTGTTCTTTGGGTTAGGTAGAAAAAGAAATACTAAACATAACTAAATTATATAGGCTAATGGAAGATGATAAATGCTATGTAAAAAAGAAAAGTATAGCAGGATAAGCGAGATAAGGAGTATACAATGTTGCAGGACCCACATGGAAGATGGTACAACTTTAAATAGGGCTGTCATCGTTGGGTGACCTCATTTAAACACAGACCTGCATAAGACAAGTAAGAGTGTTCTGAACAAGGAAATAGCTATGGCAGGAGCTATGATCAGATAACACCAGGAAGGCATGTAGCCTAGAGAAGCAGAAGCAAGACAGGAAATGGATTAGGTAGGGAAGAGCCTTGTAGGTCATTGGGAGCACCTTTAATTTTCCATGAGACAGACAGGGAGCCAATGCCTATTGTCTAACTAGATCTCCTTTTCTCCAATCCTATCCAATTGTATTGCTAATCTTTAAAAATTAATGCCAGTCTAATAATACAATATAATTCATCATTGGTTTACTTTCACTTTCCTAATAGGGAGGTTTTGTGTCTTTTATATTTACTGTTTCTTTGGAAGTGCTTTTTCTGGATGGCCCGTTTATGTTCTTTGCTCATTTTTTTACCGGGTTGTTTGTATTTTGTTATGTGTAGTGGTAGTAGTAGTAGAAACATTTTATATGTCCTAGGTATTACAAAATTTACCTGTTCATCTAGCATTTATCTTTTGAGTTTGTTTTCAGCATATTCGGCAACAAAATTAAAATTTTATATAGATAAATTTTTACAATTGCTTCTTTTACAGGTCTTAGGTGTTGTGTCTTGCTCAAAGGATAAAGTTCCTAGGTTATACAAATAGCCTCTGAAGTTTTCTTAGATTTTTATGGTTTCTTTTTTCCTTTTGGATATTCAACAGGATGCAGTGCCTGTGGCAGCTTTGAAGCTGGAACTCCTGCATTGCATGGTGCCACAAGAATAGTCAGTTTTGAAATCATAGTTATTTTATAAAACATCCTTTTCACATTGAATTAAAATCCTACCTTTGTCATATGAAAATGAAGGAGCATTTTAAAAGTTATGATATATTAGATCATATCCAAAACCTGGTAAGAATGATCTAAAAGGGACAGATTCATAGATTATGAGAGAGAGGAAATATAGCAGGATGCCAGTTACTATGAAGGCTGAAGGGACTGAGACTCAGACCACAAAGGAGAGGGCTGAGATTACCTCAGCTCTACTAAACCATTGAAAGCTGAGGGTATGGGTATAGTCATAGGCAGCTGGCCAGAACTGCTGGAAGACACATGAGAAATCCTTATTTAAGAACTTTAATTTTCTGAGAAAAGTCGTATCACTCACTCCTGGGAAAGAGTATGAGAAGAGAAAAGAGGTTGGAAGAGGTGTGTAGATTTGAAGAAAGAGGGGAAATGTGGGAAATCCTATCATTGCAGAGTGAGAAAATAAACAATCAGAAGAGTCTGAGAGCTTTGGTAGGCAGAATTTAGGGCGTAGCTGGATTCCTGTGGTAATGGGTATCAAATGAGAATTCCTGGGAGATTATATAAGATTTTTGCCAGTAAAGATAGCTGATGAGGTGAATGTTAAGTTTTTAGTAAACTTTTAGTTTCTTTTACTAATACCTTCAAATCATTTAAGTCAAAAGCTTTTAGTTTCTTGTATTAGCACCTTAAAATCACCTAAGGAAAAACTTTTTAGTTTCATTTTTTAATAAATAGTTTCAGACCATTTAAGTCAAAGCTTATAATTTTGTAGGCTGATTGTGTTGTATGTTGGTGCCAATAAAATTACAGGGATGATTACTTAATCACAGTGATCCAAAGATTAGGTGATGGGCTAAGAGATAAATGAATCAGGGTGACTGATTCAGGGCTGATAAGGGCAGATGGAACATAAAAACCAGGGGTATGTTCTATAATTGTGTTTCCCACTTTGTTACTTCATTCCTCCACTCCATAGTACATCAATCATTCATTCATTCAACAAATACTTACTCAGCACCTATTATGTGCCAGGCACTGTTCTATATGCAGAGGATACACCAGTGAACAAGAGAGACAAGGTTCCTGCTTTCCTGGAACTTACATTCTAATACAGGAAGATAGACAATAATAATAAAAATAATATTAATAATAATAATAATAGCTAACATTAGTTTAGCAAGTACTGTTTGCTGAGATTGCTTTAAGTACTTTACAAGTATTCATTCATTTAATCCTTATCAGAACAATAAGAGGTAAAGACTAGAATTATCCCCATTTTATGTAGTGGACACTGACAACATAAAAAAGGGAAAATAACTCCTTTTAGAGCAAAGGTTAAATAACTAAGAAAAGGCACACCTGGAATTTAGCACCAAGAAAGGCTACAGATATCTTTCCCTTAATGACTTTGCTGTGCTCCTTCTCAGACAAGAAACAAGGAGAGAAACAATAAATAGAATAACTTTGGTAGTATTCGGGACTACAAAAAAAATAAATAAAGGAGGGCGACACGATGGTATTTGAATGTTGGGGGTATGGGGAAGAAAATGAAGATGTCAGGGAAAGCTTCACTGATGCAGTGACATTTGAGCTGAGGCTTGAAGGAGGTTAACACGGTTATCTTGAGGCACAGGCAAGAGAAAACCCAGTGCAAAGGAAATCTTATCCTTTGTGAAACAGAAATGCCCTGTTGGCTGTGGCTGGAGTTCAATATGTAAAAGAACGTCTGATTAAAAGTGAAGTCAGGCAGATAGGCGGGAACCAGACCCCTTGGGTTCTCAGGTCACATTAAAGAATTTGACCTTTATTCTAAGTGCAGTGGGGTTTTTAGGCAGAAGAGTAACACTACCTGACCCATAACTTTCAAAGATCACTCTCACTGCTATCTGCAAAATTAACCGTATGTAGGGCCAGAGTGGAAGCAGGAAGGTCCATTAGGGAGCAATTATAATGCAGGTGAAAAATCCCAGTGGCTTGAACTAGGGTAGTGGCAGGGGAATGAAATTTTGGGTATCATACTTTAAAAGTTAAAATGGACAAGTCTTGGAAATAGACTATATGTGAGGAGTAAAGTAAAAGGGATTTAATCAGGAGCCTTGAGGTTTTGGTTTAATAAGTGGTACCTGGCAGTGTCCTTTACTGAGATGTACAAAACTAGGGGAGAAACACCATCCCTTAGAAACATTTTTTTATCTTGACCTTCAGAAAGGAAGGGGCTTCTTCTACTCTTTAAAAGAATTTACAGGTTTCAAAGGAAGAGTTCTGGAAATAAAGCATTTTAATGCTCGATTTTATGGGCTGTTTGTATTTGACACCCAAGTTGGAGATGCTGAATTTTCATCTGTTTAATATTTATTGAGCATCTACTGTGGCCAAAGACCATGTGATGAGACACCAAGATGGACTAAACAAACGAGCTCCCTGCTCCCAGTGCTTTCTGGAAAAGGGAGAACGGACGACTGGCGTTCCCTGTCTCATTAGAAGTTCCCCTAACGCCCGAGTAGCCATCTTCCAGGAACTGCGCCTCGCGCTCCCGGCAGTTGGGCCCAGCGTTCCAAACGCTCATCATCGGGCTAATAAATGAATCTCTAACAGTGACATCTCCCCTCCCACTAGAACTCAGGCTTTTTTTTAAAAAAAAAAAAAAAAAAAAGGAAATGTTAACAAACAATACGAATACAACCTTTGCTTTGAAGACTAGTATTTTTGCAGGAATGGTACCTTTATAAAGATCGTGGTTGCCCCCGTACATATTTGTCCTTTCTTCATATCCAATTAAATGAAAACACTAGTTTTTCCGCAGCCCACTCTAGGCTGGCTGGGTCTAGCTCAGGAGAGAGGAAGCCGGAGCCGTTGGCTTTAAACACTTGGGTGTAATCCTTCTCTACGCTCCCTCCCGCTAGCCGGGGACTCGCGGTCCGCTACCCGGGGCTTTCCGTCCACGCAGCGGCGGAACGAAGGAGGCTGGGAGGGGGTCGGGGAAGGGAAGGGCGGGAGAGACATTAAGTAATTGGCTCTTGAAGGTATAAAACGATGTTTCGGGTCTACTCGAAAGCACGGATTTCAAACGCCCGCCCCCTGGGCCGCTTCGGCCCCGCCCCCCGCCGTCGTCACGCCGACCTCCACCCCGCCTGCTGCCGATTGGCCCCCGCCTCGGCCTCGGAAGTGCGGCTGAAGAGCCCGGGGTTTGCTTCCGGGTCGTGGGGCTCGGGCCCGGTCCTGGGCGCGGAGGCTGCTGGGAGGTGAGAGTCGTCATGGTGTCTGTGTGACTTGCGGAGGCTGTCGCGTTAGACCTCGGTCGACGTGTGCCGCCGGAGGGTCGCAGGTTGTCTCCCCCGTGCGGGTGGGGCGGGGACGGCCGGCTGCGGCCGGAGTCGGTGGTAGCGAGCCGGGCGTGGGCGCAGGGGCCGCGGCGGGCGGCGGCGGTAGCGCCCAGCGAGTCCCCGGCCGGCCGCGGAGCGCGCAGCGTGAAGGCAGTAGGCGGGCGGCGGTAGCGGGGTCCACACCCCTTCGTCCCCCGAACCCCCTGCGAGTCGGGCCTCGGGGTGAAGAGCCAGCGAGCCTCTGGTTACAGCCCGAAGGCGAGCCCCCGGGAGGCGGGAGTGACCGAAATCCGGGAGTCTGCGGGAGGCGGCGGCGCCCCCAGCGGCAGGAAACCCGGGTTCTCTCGGCGTGGATCCCTTTTCCCTTTTTAAAAAATCGAGGGACGTACACCCAGTGCCCGCCCCCCCCCGCCCCCCCCCCCCCGGTTCCCCGCTCCTGGCTCTTCGGACGCTTAACGGGACTTGAGTAGCCGCGTCTGCTAGGCGCCCCTCTTGGCAGCCCCAAACCAAAAGCAACGGAGGGGTCCCTGAGTTTTGTTTATCGGGATCCTTTGGTGATGACTTTGCTTTCATGAGCATCGTCACCTACAAAAATCTGCTTTGTATTCTAGTCGTTGCTATAGAAGAAAGTTGGACCGACAAAAGGTTGTTGGAGAATCCTGCCCGTGTAACTGTCCTTAAAGTTCTGCATACTTTACTCCCGGACACTCCGTAACCTTGTCGGTGATTTTAAAACGACCTCGTTTTGTAGTTAGAAGCCTATTTTCTGTTGTATGAGGTTAAGTGCAAACCTTAGGGCATCTGGTGGACCAGGGTTAAGCTGAGAATTTTTTTTTTTAAGATTTTATTTATTTATTCATGACAGAGAGAGAGAGACAGGCAGAGGGAGAAGCAGGCTCCATGCAGGAAGCCCATCGCGGGACTCGATCCCGGGTCTCCAGGATCAGCCCCTGGGCCGAAGGCAGCACTAAACCGCAGAGCCACCTGGGCTGCCCATAAGCTGAGAATTTTTAAGACTCAGTGTTGGCAGTACTAAATTTTGCAAGGCTTTGACATTTCAATTCTTTTTTTTTTTTTTTTTTTTTTTACATTTCAATTCTAATAATAACCCTGTGGGGGACATTGCCCATTCCTCAGAACTTGGAGCTGGATGACTTGCCCAGGGCCACAGATACAGAAGGAGAACAGGAACACCAACTCACATCTTCATGAGAGAATTTTTTGCCCTAAATAAGAGTTGCCTAAGAAGCTATATTCCTTATATACCCTGAGCTTCATTATGTGTTTTCTTGAGAACTTTTGTTTGAGATTATTAATTTTGGAGGATGAATTCTGGAAATTATTTCACAAGGATGAATATTATTAATATCTTATGAAATGAGAATAACTTGATACAGTTTTTCTTTAAAGCATAAAAGATGACAACAGCAGCTAGGCCAACTTTTGAACCTGCAAGAGGTGGGAGAGGAAAAGGAGAAGGTGATTTGAGCCAACTCTCAAAGCAGTATTCAAGTAGAGACCTACCTTCTCATACAAAGATAAAATATAGGTAATGAAGACTTTTTATTTTCTTGTTCAGAAGACAAGACTAAATCTGTTAAATGGCATGCTCGTGAGATTCTAGCATGTTTGGGGTATATCACTAATCTATTTTCATAGGGATAGAATGCAATAGAGTGTTTAACATTAAAACTGTGCTCTGATTATTAAAACACTACCTTGTACTACTTATGCAGAAATCCCTATTAATTGGGAATTTCCATATGTAGATGGCTCAATAGCAGTGACCTCAGGGCCCATCCACTATCAGCACTACTCAATGTGAGGTGAAAAGTGTCAGACTAATGAGCCCTGAATTGATGTACTAACAAAAAGTAAAGACATTTTAATTACTCCCCAGCCTTATGGGAAAATATGTGACTCAGTTTGGGCTTTCTGAAACATTGGAAACATTACAAGAATGCCTGTTAGTAACCTTCAGATTAGGGTAATGATCTCATTTAGTTCCTTGAACTTGAGGACAGAGTGGCTTTTTGGGAACTGTCTTCCCCTGCTGCAGCCATGTATCTTTTTAGTAATATTTTTACCAAATTGTTTCTGCTTTAGACAGACAACTCAGGATGCCCCTGAAGAGGTTCGCAACCGTGACTTCAGGAGGGAGCTGGAAGAGAGAGAGAGAGCTGCTGCAAGAGAAAAAAACAGAGACCGTCCAACAAGAGGTACCAACACTGCCCCCAGACATTTGTCATCATGAAATTAGGTTGACAATGTTTTTTTCTTTCATGGCTAATTGGAGCTGATTAATATTTTTTGTTTGCTTGCTTTAAAATGTTATATGTAAACAATATAAAGTATTGTTTGCTTTAAGATTGGTAACACTTTCTTAAGTGATTAGATTAGAGTTGACTCCAGTTCCATCTCTTTGTGCTTCCGTAGCAGAAGGAACAGGATGATCTGGGGATATCTGGCAGTTCTTGTTTCAGTTTACATAAAGGTTTTTGTCTTAAGATTTATTTGAGAGAGAGCACATGTGCATGAGCAGGGGGAAGGGCAGAGGAAGAGATAATCTCAAGCAGGTGGGCCTCAATCCCAGGACCCCAAGATCATGATCTGAGCCAAAATCAACAGTCAGATGCTCTACAGACTGAGCCACGTAGGCACTCCTAAAGGTTTTGACTGTTCACAGCAATGAGACTTTTTAAGGCTTCGTGTTTTCTCTATGTGAGGGTCTCCTGTTTTTGTCACTGGCTTTTGGAAGGCATCTAGGGGCATAAGTTATAATGTCTTTTTTGTATTTTCAACATATGTAAAGTATTCCCTAAATTCCCTGAGAGAGACTACAGTTCCCATATTAAAATCAATACTTTGATTAATTCGTTCAACAAATGGCATGTGACCAAGGGCACATGCCAGGCACTGTGGTCCCTGTTCATGCTATCTTGATACTTATAATCTAAGCTCGTTATGCCCACAGATCCGTAAAGTGTTAAAAGAAACACAGTGTTTATTTTAGTAAGCTAAATGATGTTTGTTTTCCCCAGAACATACAACCTCCTCGTCGGTGTCAAAGAAGCCTCGGTTAGACCAGATTCCTGCTGCCAACCTTGATGCAGATGATCCTCTAACAGATGTATGTTTTATTTCCTCCATTGATTTCCACATAGTAATTCATTTATTATGTTTTCTGAAATGCTTGTTTTACTTTTGGCTTTAAGAAGTGGCCTATATTTGTTTTTACTTACTGTTACTCAAATGTAGTCCTGACTTCAATGTTAAGCTTTATGGTTGATTTTTTAAACAAAAAAGTAGTATTAATCACAATAGTAATTAAACTTTCAGAGCAAGTTTGATTTTTGGAAAACCAAAAAAGAAAGTAGTCTATTAAAAGGATAAGCTTCCCCCAAAAATAATTCTCCATACTAAACCCTGGAGGTTGACCATGTTCTATACCTCCATAGGGCATTCTTCATTCTAGGGTCGCTATCAGTAGTAGAACCCCAATAATTGAACTCAGAGGCCTTTCCACAGTAGGTACCAAAGGTGCCCCCTCTAGATGTGCTATTCAACTTAATGGCTGGCTTTTTTTAGAAAGGGACGTGATCTAGGTGAAAGCGTTTTTAGGATTAGTGCTTCAGTTAACATTCAATTAAAATTCAGTGGCCTTGAGTCTATAATCAACTTGCAGTTTTGTGCATACAGTCGAAAAACATGAGTGGCCTTTCATGGGTCACATCTAATTATTTTTTTAATTTATTTTTTATTGGTGTTCAATTTGCCAACATACAGAATAACACCCAGTGCTCATCCCATTAAGTGCCCCCCTCAGTGCCTGTCACCCAGTCACCCCCACCCCCCGCCCACCTCCCTTTCCACCACCCCTTCTTCGTTCCCCAGAGTTAGGAGTTCCTCATGTTCTGTCTCCCTTTCTGATGTTTCCCACCCATTTCCTCTCCCCTCCCCTTTATTCCCTTTCACTATTTTTTATATTCCCCAAATGAATGAGACCATATAATGTTTGTTCTTCTCCGACTGACTTACTTCACTCAGCATAATACCCTCCAGTTCCATCCATGTCGAAGCAAATGGTGGGTATTTGTCGTTTCTAATGGCTGAGTAATATTCCATTGTATACATAGACCACATCTTCTTTATCCATTCATCTTTCGATGGACACCGAGGCTCCTTCCACAGTTTGGCTATTGTGGACATTGCTGCTAGAAACATCGGGGTGCAGGTGTCCCGGCGTTTCACTTCATCTGTATCTTTGGGGTAAATCCCCAGCAGTGCAATTGCTGGGTCGTAGGGCAGGTCTATTCTTAACTCTGAGGAACCTCCACACAGTTTTCCAGAGTGGCTGCACCAGTTCACATTCCCACCAACAGTGCAGGAGGGTTCCCCTTTCTCCACATCCTCTCCAACATTTGTTGTTTCCTGCCTTGTTAATTTTCCCCATTCTCACCGGTGTGAGGTGGTATCTCATTGTGGTTTTGATTCGTATTTCCCTGATGGCAAGTGATGTGGAGCATGGTCACATTTAATTAAATACACATATCAGCAATTAATTCCATAGTTGACAGATTGAGTTAAATAATGAACTCGGTAATTAAATAAAGAGAACCTAATTTTAAATGGGATTTAATAATCCTTTGTTTGAAATTATTCTGAGAGTGTAGCACAATTTTTTGTACTTTTGATTATCCTTCTAGCTTAAAAGTTGTTTTAAGCTAGTAAAACTATTTGACTCTTGGGGTGACACTGTGTACATATGTATTGTGTGTATCAGTGTAAAGTATTCCTTGTCCGATTTTACAGATATTTTCAGATGTAAATTCCCTTTTGACCATGTAAATTTGAAGGATACTTTGTTACGCTTTTTGCTGTTACGATCTCTCAAGCATATCAGGGACATTTTAGTAAGTGTTATGTAAGCTTGTTTGTGGGATTTCATTTTATGTTTTGGTTGATTGTTGATTTTAATCATATTTAGGTGCACTTACCTTTCTCAATAGGAAAATTAATCCTGCCCCAAAGATTTGATAAGTAATTTTTATGGGAAAAATAATGAATAACGTACAGTTTCTCATGGACTGTCATTCTTTTTTAGGAGGAAGACGAGGATGAAGATTTTGAAGAGGAGAGTGATGATGATGACACTGCAGCTCTTCTTGCAGAACTAGAAAAAATTAAAAAAGAAAGAGCTGAAGAGCAGGCCAGGAAGGTAAAAGCAAAATATTAAAATTTGCATCTTCTCATCTATACTAAACTAGGAATATTCTTTAATTTAAGTAATATTATCATGTTAGAAGTCATCCTTGCCATATGTAAATGTTAAAGCACCTATAGATCTAGAAAGAAACCCGATTATTTTTGCGACATCCTAACTTTCCTTGTTATGTTAGAAATTCTCTCCAAATAGTTCAGGCATGCCTCATGATACTCATCAATTTTTTTTTCATTCACTTGTTCATTTTTTCAACAGACATTTAGTCATTGTCCACTAAGTGGCAGAAGAATTAAAGATGAATACGATACAATCATGGTCTACAAAGAACCCATGGATAGAATGAAGCCATCTTTATCTATTTGTCTCCTGCTTCCAGCCTTCTTTCCAGGCATTCGTTGATGCAGTCTGTCAATAGATTTTATATAACCTAGGGCAATTTACCTAACTTCTCTGGGTCTCCATAGTCTCTCCATGTGTATAATGGAAGAAAAAAAATGTCTGTCTCATAAAGAGTTACAAGGATTACATAGAATTCACAGTATATACCTTTAAAACTTCAGATGAATTTGCCATAGTAGTAACAATAAGAGATGAAAAGGTGAGCAAGAGCAGGTCAGAAAACTAGAGGTTCATTAGCCAATGCTAAAGGAGTTTGGACTTTGTCTTATTCTTTTTTCTTTTTCTTTTTTTTTTTAAGATTTTTATTTATTTATTCATGAGAGAGGCAGAGACATAGGTAGAGGGAGAAGCAGGCTCCCTGCAGGAAGCCTGATACAGGACTCGATCCCAGGACCCCAAGATCACGACCTGAGTGGAAGGTAGACAGCCCCTGAGCCACCGAGGTGCCCCCTGGACTCTGTCTTGAAGGCCATGAAGAGCTAGTTGATTTTAGCAGGAGACAAGATTTGATATGCATTTTATTTTTTTATTATGAAATATTTCAGTAACAGAAAAATATAAATAATGAATTTAATAGTCATCTACTTGGATATGCATTTTAGAAGGATAGCCCTTGCAGAAGTATAGAGGATTAGGAAAACTGATTGAGGAAGCTGTTCCCAGTAATCCTCACATGCAATTAAGATAATTTTGCATAATAGAATTGGAATTGAGAGAAGTAAATAGATGCTGAGAGAGTTGTCAAGGAGGTAAAATTGACCAGTTAAAGTGACTGGTTAGCTATGGCAACAAAGATGACCCTCAGTTCCTGGGTAAATGTTGACATTAACTAATACAAGGGATGGCAGAAGGATGCACATGTTTAGGTGGAGAGAAAAGAGATGATGAGCTCTGGAACGTGTTGAATTTGACACATTATGAGATACTTAGATGGAGATGTCTGTCTCCACTTTCAAACAGAACAGCTCAGCTTTTTTTTATGAGCTTCTGTGTAAATTTTCATTTGAACCAAGAATTACTCTGTTTAAAGAGGGGGGAAAGACTGACATGGGTTCATGTGAGGAATCCAGAGAAGTAGAAGATTGCTGGAATTCAAATTGGAGGAATATTTTATTTATTTATTTTTCAAAGAATTTATCCATTCATGAGAGAAACAGAGAGAGAGGCAGAAACACAGGCAGAGGGAGAAGCAGGCTCCACACAGGGAGCCCGATGTGGGACTCCCATCCTAGGTCTCCAGGCTCACGCCCTGGGCTGATGCGGCGCCAAACCGCTGAGCCACCCAGGCTGCCCAAGAAGAATATTTTAAATACAATTTCCATCAAAGTTTGGCATTGGATAGCGTAATTCCCATAATAGCTTATAATTGTCATATTTAATTTTTAAAAACCAAAGAATTATAAGAACTTTCCTGATAGTAGATATTACTTGCCCACCACTAGAGGGCAGTTGTATTCCATATTCTTTTGACTTGCCTAACAGCTCTGGATACATAGAGACAAGAAATATAGGTGCATTTGGTTGACCCTTAAAAAAGATAAATATTTTAGACAGAAGGTCTTGGAATTTTGTAAGATTCCTCTACTCTCTTTGTACAAAAATATAGTGGTGTTCCTAGGGGTTGAAGGACAGTTTTACTTTTGTTCCTGTTTCCCTGGCTGGTTTTCTAGCGGCTGATTTTTGAAGTGTCCCAAAATAACATTTTCAAACCAGTTAGCCTGTGTCAGGGGCTAGGAAGCTTTCTGTAAAGGGCCAGATGGTAAATATTTCAGGATATTTCTAGCTTGCAGACCATGCAATCTCTAGTGTGGTTCTTTAGTTCTGCTCACTGAAGTGTGGAAGCAGCTATAGACAATGCAGAAATGAATGAGTTTACTGTGTTCCAGTAAAATTTTGTTAACAACAATGGGGTGGTTTGGATTTCATCTGCAGGCTGATTATAGCCTGTGTTTGTGAACCATAATGTTTCTGGGACTTGAATATGGAAAGAGTTGGCACCTTTTTTTTCCAGTGGTTTATGTGGCAGCCAGCCAGGACTCTAAAGGAAGTAATATTCCAAATATAAAATGGCCAGAACTTTATTATATCACATACATTATTACAAGATGGATACGTTGTATGTTTGAGCTCTTATTTTTTTAGAATCTCAGAGAAATGTCTTTTCACTTTCAATATCAATATAATTTGCAAAAAAATACATTGTTTTTAGAAAGCTATCTGTTCTTAATCTGTGATGGAACACATGTGCCTGATTTTGTTTGCTTAAGGTCTGAGTAGTGACCTAAAGGAATTTACCTGTTTATTTCCCTGATCATTGCATCTTCTCACTTTCCAGTCATTTGGCCTCTTAAAAATGAAATCTGTTCACATTTGAATATTAAAATGAAACATCATTAACCTGTATGGAAAATTTTAAACTTTCTTAGGCTCTGTTTTTTTTCTTTAAGATTTACTTATTTGAGAGAGTGTGTGTGTGAGCAGGGGATGGAGAGAAGCCCAAGCAGATTTCCCTCTGAGGGTGGGGCCTGATGCAGGGCTAGATTTCACTGCCCTGAGATCATGACCTGAGCTGAAATCAAGAGTCAGATGCTTAACCAACTTAGCTACCCAGATGCCCCTGTTAGGTTCGTTTTAAATTGGAAGTCCCTGGGGTTGCATGGGTGGCTCAGTCAGGTAAGCATCTACCTTCAATTCCGGTCATGAGGCTAGGGTCCTGGGATCAAGCCCCATGTGAGGCTCCTGGCTCAGCGGGAAGCCTGCTTCTCCCACTCCCTGCTGCTTTGTACACATGCTCTCTCTCTCAAATAAATAAAATCTTTAAAAAAAATAAATTGAAGGTCTCTTTTTCCTTGATCTATTAAGTCATCAGTTTTCCCCTTCCTAAAATACAATAAAGTGGGATTTATTTTTGGTTTAAGAGAGCCTGAACAGGTAGATCTAGCAGTTGTTATGGCTAAGAATTGTAGGCATTTTATATTTCTAATTCTAAGAATGAACCTGAGGCTGATTTGAGTTTAAAGAAATTAATGCTAAATTAAAAGTAAAGAAAGACAAGCTCATAACTGATGAAGGATGAGAGGTATGAAAATGGAAAGTTAGTAACAAATCATAAGAACAAAATGGATAAACGTGGGGTAGATTAGTAGAAATGCATATTAACTGAATATAATATTTTACATGCTAGTTTTAGCTACTTATGGGCTAATAATAACTTATCACTAGTCCTGGAAGTACAAATTTACACTGTTAATAATTCAAAATGAAATTCTTTTTAATCATAGTCCTATATAGCCCATCTTTAAAAATCAAAGTAATAGCTTTGCTAAATGTGTTTCTTTGATGTTTAACATATCCTTAAATGACTAGAATGTATTATAGATGGACTCTTAAAATAAGCAACTAATTTTGGATGTACTTCAAGAAAGAAAACATTTAAATAGGCATTCATAGAATTTCAGAGTCAGACTAATGAATGTAGACAAGCATGAACTATTTATTATAAGGCCAAATTATTTTGGTAAGTGAAACTTTTCTGGTATTTCTTATATCTTAAAAAACAAAACAATAAACAACCTACCTTGATGCTTATTCCTTCTCCATCATAAAATCCTAACAATCTTTTAAAATTTGAGTTATGAAAGAAGATTGACCCCAGAATTAATGTAAGTAAATGAGTCCTCCTCTGTCATTGACAGGAACAAGAACAGAAAGCTGAAGAAGAAAGAATACGTATGGAAAACATTTTGAGTGGAAACCCTCTCCTTAATCTCACTGGTCCATCCCAGCCTCAGGCCAACTTCAAAGTTAAAAGAAGGTACTTTACACAACCCAGTTGGATGTATATTGCAGATTGTGCATTTTATACCAAACTATTATATAAAGCCTCTAAAAACCCCCTTTTTACTGATACTTCTTCTCCAGCAGATACGAGAATAATGGAAGAAGCAGAATGAAAGAAAATATACTTACTTTCAGTAGATATTTATGATAACCAGCTCTGGGGCAGATACTGTCTTAAGCACTAGGGATGGAATAGTACATTGAGCTCTTGGCCCTACAGAGCTTACATTGTAGATGTATGTATGAAGAGCCCCCAGGATCATATTCAGAAACTAGCAGGACTCAGAGGACTCCGTGTAGAGTTGTACTTGTGACCAACGTAGTAAAGATACAAAGATCCACGTAAGGGAGAAAGCTACTGGAGGAATCCATTTGCACACTTCCTTATGCTCTGTCCCTCCTATGAGCGGTCACCCAGCACATTCTTTCCCCTAGGACTGAATTGTAGATCGGGGCAAGTCTGGGAGCCGTACTGGTTATACCCCAGTTTCTTCTCCTTTTTGTTGCCATAAATGCTAATACTACAGTGGATGATTACTAGTGGAAACTGATGAAAGAGCATAAAATCCATAAAACTGTGTAATCTAAACTATACTAAATTAGTTATTATCTAGAAGTATCTATGCTAATCAGGGTGCTGCCTCTTTGTTTTAGACCTGAAAACATTAAATATTTATGTAATTAAGCCAATGTATTCTGCTTTTTAACTCAAAGTTCCTATACAGGGGAAGTAATGAGAATGTTTGTGTTAGATAGGAATTACCCTTCCTGCTGTAATAAAGCAGGGTTACAACCTAGTAAGAATTACTTTATTCTTTTGGGTGTAATTGCTGTATTAGGTGATGTACATGTTCAGCATCTTTCTGGGTAATAACCAAGCTTTGCAGTTCACTTGTTCTTGTCTCCTGATACAGACATAGAAGACGTTCTGTTTTCTTTTTCCTCTTTAGGTGGGATGATGATGTTGTTTTCAAGAACTGTGCAAAAGGTGTAGATGATCAGAAGAAAGACAAAAGATTTGTAAATGATACACTGCGATCTGAATTTCACAAAAAGTTCATGGAGAAATATATTAAATAGTACAGTTTTATGTGCTTAATTAAAGACTGTAAGGTGTAAACGATCATTCTCACTTTGTTCTGTTTTTCTCTTTCCCCATCTAAATTGTGTATAGGCCTCCCTAATTTTAAGTTCCAAACTATCTTTTCCTTTATTGATAACTTTATTTGATGAGGACTTGGGAATTGGTTTACCTAGTTTCCATCCTCTGAATATTTCCAGTAATATGCTTTCCTTTTAATATGGGAAAGGGAATCTTCTTGTAATAAATATTTTCAAAACTCAAAATATCTAAATCTGTGCCCCCAACTTTTTTTGTTGAAATGTATACAGCTTATAAAACGTTGCACATTTTCTTTTGTGAATTGTATTTCTTTATGCATCAACTTCTTGTTTCTTTGACATTGATTTAAGGTCAGTTAATGTGTGATACCTTCTCTGTGTTTTTGCCGATGGTGTTTTTAAGAGTGTGATGGAGGATGAAAGGGATTCTATTTTGACCTACATGTTGGTATGGAAGAGGATCATCGAGCTCTCAGCATCCTGAGTGCATGTCTCAGGATGGGGCATCTTTCCCTTCCGCAAGCGCTCCTTTTTTTCCTCTTGGCCCAAAACTGCTCCGTAAGCATGCCCAGGGAACATGTGGCTCTCCTGCATTCTACTGGATACTCAACGGCCATGTGCCTTGAATGAGGTAGTTTGCCACTGGCACACTTGAGATGCAGAGCCTAGGGAAGTTTAACCTCAAACCAAAATAAAACTTTGGGAAATAGGATTTTGTTTGTTCATTTGTTATCTTGGAGGATATATATGTGGGAGGTGGGGCTGTCTCTATACAGCTGGGAAATGAAGCTTTTCTGAGCCTGGACTGGGATTGAAGGATGCCGCTTTGGTAGGGAAATTGGGACCAGGAATTGAGCCACTTACAGAGACTTGATCAGTCTCTGTAATGGTTACAGATTGTAATGGTTGTAATGGTTACAGATAAAACTTTTAAGGCAATAGCATGCTGTTATCAGTGTATCTTTAAGCCCTTCTAAGAGCTCATTCACTGCTCCATCATTTCCATACGTAGCCTGAGTCAGGAGTAAAGCTGGACGTGGTGCCCAAGTCTTGACTCCACATTCACATTATTTGTATTTTTTCCAGTTGATCCATTTACACAAAATTTTGAATCCTTCAGTTAGTGTTTCTTAAAAGCCTTTAATGATATTTAAACCTAATCTTTAAAATATCTCCTTAGGGCACCTGGGTGGCTCAGTCAGTTAAGTGTCTGACTCTTGATCTCAGCTCAGGGTTTGATCTCAGGGTGGTAAATTGAAGCCTTGCATTGGGCTCCATGCTGGGCACTAAGTTGGTTGATTAAATGACCTCCAGCTTTACAATTAGTAAGATGCTTCCACGTTCATTTTCAATTTTCTAAATAGTACCGCTGTTTCATAGGATGAAGACCTGGGGCCTTCTAAGTGAAGGACAATGAAACAGGCCAAATCACTGGGTCACAGTTAATACATGATGGGACATGTACAAGTGCCTTTAAACTACATGAAAAGGTGCTTCCAGATGTGACATTAGATTTCCAAAACTAGTGCTTGAGAGTCTGGGTAAAGTGTTGAGGAAAACAGGCAGCAGCACTTAATCAGAATTTTTTCCTTTTTGGGATCTGAAAGGCCCACCACATACCCAGGGGCCTAGTGCAGGTGCACTTAACTTCAGGTTCCCTATTTGGTTCAGGGAGAATTGCAGTAAAGATCATTACAGTGATTTCATTCTCTCTTTCCCTATGGTTTTCCCATATAAAACAAGTTGTGTGGCCTGAGTCAGATTTGAGACCCATAAGGATCCAGTGTCAGCTCTCAGCTCTCACAGCAGGGAACAGCCTTCTTAGCTAAAACGCCTTGCAATCTTGAAAAACATCTTACTGAGAACTTTTATCTCCTCTCTAAGGGCCCATGCTGAGTGCAAGGAGCCAGGGCTTTGAAGCCACACAGATCTGGATGTGAAGCCCAGCTCCAGCAACACCACTCCCTGTAAACAGTGGGCATAATTTTCCCTGTTTTATATGACAAGGAAACTGACATTTGTTTAAAAGCAAAGTCGTAAACCTTAAGGGGGTAGGGTGGAGATTCAAACCTACAACCATCTTCATTCTAAAACCCATCCTCCCAATTGCTAGGCCTTTATAGTCTCTTTGTGTTCATTTGTCCCGACTTAACTCACCTACAAAGCGACAGCAATGAGAGAATCACAGTGGAGTTGGTAGGCACTAATACCGTAAGATGTGCGTATCTGGCAGGCTCGTAGTAGGGATTTCCTATGCCTTCCTTATACTGGCATATAGCAGGGGCCGGCTAATATTTAACAAAGTCTGTTGTTCCCGGTCTGTCGTTCTGTCCTAATTGTCTAGTTTTTAATCAAGAGATTCCCAGGGATCGCTGGGTGGCTCAGCGGTTTAGCGCCTGCCTTTGGCCCAGGGTGTGATCCTGGGGTCCCAGGATGGAGTCCCATGTCGGGCTCCCTGCATGGAACCTGCATCTCCCTCTGCCTGTCTGTCTCTCATGAATAAATAAATAAAAATCTTTAAAAAAGAGAGAGAAAGATTCCCTAACCCCTCAGAGCTTGGCTTGGGCAATAGATACAGTAATTGTTTATGCTTGGTGGATTAGAAACCCAGTAACAGAAACTAGTGAAATAGAGGTTTCTCTTAAGAATACTTAAAAAGGCACCTCCTCTGCCCTGCTCCAATTCTGCTTCTGTCAATTCATCTGTGCAGCCACTTCCTCTGCAAAACTAGATGTCTGCACCTGAGTACTAAGAGGTCATTCTTTCCTGCCTTTGGCTTCCCTGTATCAGTGTGCTTCCCTGCTGGGTCTGGAACTACTGGATACCAGAAGCACCAGGGAGCAGGGGGCCCCTTGGCCTGTCTGAGACACCTGCTCTGGGGGACCACTTCCATCGAACCACTCTGAGGAGCAAAGATGGAGGGAGTCAAAGGGAGAGGAGCTCAGCGGTGCTCCTGCGGGCTGCCTGTGAACCCAATCCCTCTTCTCCTGGGGGCAAGGTCTGCGGCACATGGAAGACACAGGACCAGCCTCTGGATCATCCTTCAACAGACAGTGGGTGCCCTTGTATCTGTGGTATTGGGATGTGGTTCCCACCCCTTTCTCTAAATCACATTCCTGCACAGGCCCCTACTACCTCCGAGCAATTGGAATATTTTTATATGGAAGTTTTTAGGTGTTTTTTCCATTTTCCTGTTTGAAAATGTCCTGCTAGGCGCTGGCCTCGCTGTCAAGGACCATAGGAGGGGCAAGGGGGAGTGAAAAATCCATGGCGTTCACACCCTAGAGAGGCATCTGCCAGGTTCCCTCTCTCCAGGGAGACCTTGTCATCTCCGCACATTTTCAAGCGGCCTGCCTTTTGAGAAAGAGGCAGAGAAATGGTCCTTGAGGCCCCAGACTAATTAGAAGCAGCTTCCTGGGAGCTGGGCCATCTCTCCTGTGCCAGAGTCTGAGGAAGGAGGGAGGAGGAAGCAGTGGGACCTTCAATATTTGCTGGCTTCAGAATGTCATCCTGAGATTTCCTCAATGCCTTGAAAGTCTAACTCCTGGTCCCCACGGGGCTATTTCCAGGGGCTGGGCTAAATAACTCCTGGGACTTAGTCACTCTCCTGAAGAGTTGACTGTGAAGGAGCCACCTGGGGAGAAGAAGCTGGTGATTCAGAGAAAGAGGGTAAGACCAGTGGCCATGCTAGGACAGGGGCCCTACAGATTTGCAGTGCCTCGCCGCCCCCCTACTCCTGCCCCAGCCCAGAATTGCAACCAGTCACCTCCCTGCTTAAACCCCCAACAATCACCATTTAGGATATGCAATGGGAAACAATCCCATTCCTGACAGCCACATACTGCAAAACAC